GACAGAGAGAGACATAGCAAGAGAGGGAACACAAGCAGGGGGACTGGCAGAGTTGGAGAAGCAGGCTTCCCGCCGAGCAGGGAGCCTGATGCGGGGCTCGATCCCAGGACCCTGGGATCATGACCTGAGCTGAAGGCAGACGCCCAATGACTGAGCCACCAGGCGCCCCCAAATAAAATTTTTTTATCCTCACTTCTTAAGAAAACATCTGACACATTTAACTAGTTGCATTTATTTCATAATCAGCATGTTAAATGGCACCAGACTGCCTGGAAAATGTAAGGGTGGTGCCCCTGACAGCCCAGAAGAGAAAGGCTAGGGCTGGGAGCAGGGAAGCCAGGCCTCTTGACTCCAGGCCCCACTCCGCTTGGCCAGTGGGAAGAACAAGGGAAGACTGCTGAACTCCGACGCCTTCATGCCAGCTTCTCAGCGGCATCACCGTCTGGTTCTGCCAGCCCTGACTGCCCCCGTCCTTTCGTTATAACATAAGGGGATGCCCGCCTACCGTATTCTTACTCGATTTACATACTTCCACTAAGGATGCACATCCTTAGACACCAGTAGTTGTTTCTAGAGAGGGCATCACCCATAGAGGGGTACTGATCAGATTCGAAATCCCCAAAACAGCACTTGTGGTGGCCTACTCCCAGCAACTATGCTTCGAGGGACCAAGCTGCTTTCTGTCAATAACAACAGTGATGTCATGGCTAGATGACAGGGAATGTGACACTGTAAAAATAGGTACATCTGGTTCATTTCTTTTCAGTGGTGCAAAGCTGGGTTAGGCCTTCGGCCAGCTCAGCAAAAGGCCCCAAATCTGCTGGTCAGAGCTCTGTGTTTGCAGAAACCTGCATGACTCTTCCTCACCATTAGCACAGATCATTAAGAGCCTGGATGTTACTTCTGGAGTATTAATAACACCTTAAATTGGAAAGGACTATATAAACAAAGCCTTTCTTTTTTTGAGAAAAATAAAATCTAGAAACACTGAGCTGTGGTTTAAATGATAACTATAGGATGATAACTAAGAATCTGAGGGAAGGTATTGAAAACCTAGTATGCTTCTCTAATTCAAACAGATGACATTATTAAAACAAAGCAACAACCAAAACCAGAGCAAAGGCATGGCTAAGAAATACCGAGTAGCACAGAGCCAGGTGCTTTCACATCCTGTAGAAAAATTAAGTCCACAGGCCAGCTTCTTAGTACCTAGATTATGGTACTAAACATACAAAACAGAAATTCTCCCCAGCAGAGAATCAAAGGGAAAAAAGAAGAGATGCAGAGAACACGAACACCCTTCCAGACCACCTGATAACTGGGTGTGTGGGACCTGTATGTCCCATGCCGGAGACAATCACCTCCCAGAATCTCTATCCTGACTCAATGCTCCCATAGGCTGAGATCTCTGGTGGGGCTCCCATAGCACGCGGCCAGCCATTTAAATGTAGGGGCCCATTTCTCCAGTCCCTGATCAGCACCCCTGCTTCCTCCCCAGAGGCCTCAGGAGTCAGGAGCAGTCCTTTCCTTTAATAGCTATCACCACCTACAACTTGGACTCTGCTCTTCCCGGACCTAGAATGGAGATAACATGGTCTAACAACAGGACATAATACGTGAAATCATCATTCCTGGGAAATTCAGAATGTATTCCTAGCATCAAGAGACTAAAGAATAAGTGCTCCAAAATCTTCAAAGGGTTTCTGCAATGTTTGGAGCTTGTTCTTTTGTCTTTCTTTCTTTCTGAATCAAATACCGTATATTTGTATGGCAGCTGCAGTTTACAAAACACCTGTTCAGGAACTGAGAGTTTGACTTGCCCCACACTCTGCCCTGTGTCCTTTGCTCTGTGAGGACTGAGTGGGGTTTCTCTCTCCAATGCCCTGGGATCAGCACAAGCAGGCTCACAGTCCTGGCATCCAGCCCCAGGTGATTCCTGGTTCTCTGGCACCATCAAGTGGCCACAGATCTCCCCGCACCCCGTGAGAGAGAAGCGGCAGACCGCACCCACTTCAGGGCATGACTTCATCCTCCTGTTTCCCATTCTCACCAGGGATCTGACAAGTGGAAAGCAAGGAGGGAATTGTACTCGCTGTCGGGCATAGCACAGTTCGAGAGGAGTAAGACTTGCTAAGTAGCTGGGGTTTCTCCAGATAAGGGGGAAACTGCATGTCTGTCTGCTTCACGGGGCCGTGGGGAGCCAGCTCAGGCCAGAATTGCTCCAACCACTGCTGTGTGAGAGCTTAGGACTGTACAGCATACTGAGGCACCCCTGTACCCCCAACACTCTCAGCAGCCACGCCACGGCGAGTGCTCCCTCCCCACCAGACACTTGCTCCTTCTGGCTTTCACGACCCTGTCCTCCTGGTTTTTACTTCTTCTTTAGCCATTCTTAAGATTGTGTGAAAGGTCTTCTTTCCCAGAGGAGGTTCCAGTGAAGACAGGGTCTCTCGATCGGAGTGTTTTCACCCAGGGAAGGGCATTTGAGACACAGAGAAGGGAATGGAAGGACTTGAGCAAGGGCACGGGACATTCACAGGCAGAAACAGGACTAGGGCCCAAGCTGCTAATCACACTGTGGTCCCCACTGGTTCAGTTCCCTGCTTGGTCCTTAGGTTTTTCCAGATTTTTTTCAGACTTTATCCACATATAATTTATATTGAATGAAAAATGCCCATTTAAAGTATACAGTTTGGTGGATTTTGACAAATGTATGTACCCATATAATGACCACCCCAATCAAGATACAGATCACATCCACCACTCCAAAAAGTTCCCCCTTCCCCCTTTCCAATTAAGCCCCCTCCACCTCCTGTCCCAGGCAACCACTGATCCGATTCCTATCACTACAGATGAATTTTACCTGTTCTCAGACATCATTTACTTGGAATCATACAGGATAACTCTTTTGTATCTGGCTTCTCTAACTTGCAGTCTGTGGGTTTTATCCACATGACTGTTTTCAGTAATTCATTCCTTTTTATTGTTGAATAGTATTCCATTATATGAATAAACTACAATTTGCTTATACATTCACCAACTGGTAAACATTTGGGCTGTTTCCAGTTGGGACTCTTAATAATAAAGCTGCTACAAACATGTGTACAAGCTTTTTTGTGGACCTATGTTTTCACTTCTCTTGTGAAATACTTAGGGTCATGTGGTAAGTTTAACTTTATGAGAAACTGCCAAAGTTCCAATTTTCAGATTTTTAAAATCAGGTCAATTGCTCAAAAATTGGAGCTTTGTAGATTTAGTTAAGGAATTTCCTAAATCTCTCTGTGAATGGCCAAGGATGGCTAGGTGGTTAGGGTGAGCTTGCCCCTGGAGAGGGTCAGGGCCTCTACTATGGAACCATCTGGGTAAGAAACAGCAAGCATCCCTTTCTGACCCTCCTGACACTGTTTTTGGGGTCAGGGGTTTCAGGGGAGAGTACCTGATGGACCTAAGCTCAGGTTCAGAGAGCAGTATTTGTACTCTGGGACACAAAAAGGGTTATTTGCCAGGGACTGACATCACCACAATGAATACGTTTCAAATTATGGGACAGAGGCTGCAGAAATAGAATTGTTTCCCTGCTTGCAAAACCTAGACAAAACTGCGCCTTGAGAGTGAGCGAGTTCTCCTTCTCAGTTTGCACTGAGGGAAAGAAAAGAGGCCATGCGGCAGAGGCTGACCGCCATGAACATGGCCAAGTCTGGAAGTCTTGGAGCCTGCTGATGGAAGAGACTGGCGAAAAAATCCTCTGACCTCCCCAAGAGGACCATGAGGGCAACACTCGGACAGCTCTTGGGGCACGACCCGAGCCCTGTTCACGGTTCTCCTCCACTGGCTGCAGAAGAGGGGAGAGGAAGAATGTCATGTCCTCTGACCTGTATGCTTCCCTGACTCCAGAGTGCTGACCTGGATAGGAAGCCCATGCAGCTCTGATCACTGTTTATTATATATCTCCTGGGAATGGAAATAAAGGTCTTTTCCTGATTATATCACGGATTCTGAATACTACCATGGAGAAGACTTTTTTTTTTTTTTACTAAAACTCTGAGATAATATGACTACCACTGACTTAAAACCTGACAGGGTTAATCTTTTACAGATACTATCTTGTCAACTTCTGGAAAAAACTAAACGCAGTTAGGAAGGACACAATATTAGAAGTAACACATTTGAAAAATCATGTGTTTGTCTTTATAACGCTATGACAAAGTAAACAGTACTTGCCTTTATTTTGTTCTCTTCCGTTGAGATGATTTGTGCCCGTAACCAAGCGTCCTCTTCTGCATTTACAGCCAGTAACTGCCCGACATGCACAGTCTGGACTGGAGTAACCTTAGGGTTCTTACTGTAATACTCCTTCATCTCATCTTCCATTAATTCCTGAGCAGCAGAATAGTCTTTGCCCACATACCTCAATTAATTGAAGGAAGAGAACACAGATGAAGCAACCCAGGAGGAGGGAAACCATAGGAGTTCATTAACATTACTCTGTTTTTTTCCCACGGCCATCTTTGGTTCCAGTCTCAGACTTGGCTTATACCAACAGGTAATACCAACTGACCATATATTTAGTAAACATTTCTGTCTTGATAAAGGAAAATTTAATACTGTGGAGCTCATGCAAAATAAGACCAGGTCAAATCCAGCAGAGCAAATGCTTGGCAACAGTCCAGACAGCTAGAGGATGTCACAGTAAGCAGTCAGGGAAACTACAGGGAGGACGAGGCTGAGAAAAGATTCAAGGGAAGGGAAGAAAGGAGATACGGTGGAAAATGGAGATGCCAGTGCAGGCTAGATTAGCAAGAGTGGACTTAAGGTTTTGACTAAGGCTGCTGGAAGTCTTTGTAGATTACTAAGAGAATCTAGTTGACAGGTTTGCCTTGAGGCTGGGTTTGAACAAGATTCAAGCTCTGAAAACAAATGAAATTTTAATAGAGAAAAACAAAGCCTTAAAAACACTAAACACGACTATGTGACAACCCATCCTCCCGGCTTACTGAACAAATTTGAACAAATTACCACAAAATGTTGAGTTTTGATACCCTTTAAGAGATGATATCTTCTAGTTAAATCTCTCTTAAATTATATGCTTTCTGAGCAGTCTTTTTCAGGATACGGCCTATCCCCTTCTACAATTTTCTGCTGTTGAAACTGCAGTCACCTTGTTCCAGTTTATGTTATCAAAACACACTATTTCCCTTTCTCCCACAAATAGGCTTTGTTTTCTTGCCCATCGGTGCTCAGGGACAATTCCATCAAAGCCCTCCTTCCAGGATGTAAACTCCAGCAAAACCAATTTGGGTGCCTGTAGCAGGAGCTGTCCAGGCCATAGGATGCAGCCTTTTTGGCTGGAAGCTATGCTGACCACGGAGATGGGGACGTGCCACAAACACACTGCCCTTTGCATTGTTCCAGCTTTTACCCAGGGCCCAAGTGGTCCCATAGAGCTTTAAGAAACTATTCCTTTGGGATTGTTCTCATGCATTCTTAGTAACTATCAGCAGCACAGAACATAGCCTATTCAACTATTTGTTACGTGAGGAAAAAAAGCTTTAAAGAGTCCTACACAATACGGAAAGAATGCCTCTTTTGAGGCAATGGCTATTTTAAAACCAAATATTACATGGACATTATTTACTCTAGAAGCCGAAGAAGCCTTGTCACACTCCATGGGTTCTGCTGACTGAGCTCTGCAAATGCGAAGGGTCCGCCTGCAGTACAGCTGCGCACTCGGCTCCGTAGTCCCCTGGGGGGTCTGCGGCTCTGCCTAAGGGTCCAGGCCTGCGACCTGGACTCTCCCGGGCCTCCTTTTAGTGCTGCTACAGCCCTGGGAGCCCAACGGGCCGAGGCCTGCTCAGCACGGGCACCTGCTAGGGAGGACGAGGAGGGGGGAGAGAAGCAGCACGAAATCTGCTCTCTACAGCAAGCAGTAGAGAAGAGTGGCCACACAGCTTGGGTGGGGATGAGATTACGGTTGGTTTGATGGTGGGGGGGTAGTAGCAAGAATGAGCTCCTGCCTTGTCCCCAAATTACCTGAGCAAGTGGGCAAAGAATGACATGTAGGCCAATTTGGGTATGCTGTAAGTACAAAGCTTTACAAAGTTAATTTCTGAAACCGGAGACAAGGGATTCCTATACTTGATCAGAGGATTCTGCTACGACACGTCCTCAAATCCTTTATGAGTCACAGGCCAGTTTCTAGAGCCTACTGTCTGCCTCGGTGAAGATGTAAATATAAGATAGGGCTCAGCCCAGCTGGAATCTACTAAGTCTCTGGGACTGGGGCAGGGGGGGAGGGGGATGCCAATGACCTAAGGTCAACCTAACAGCACATATCACCCCTTGTGCTTGCTGGCTGCCAGCCACTGTGCTGAACAGGTAGAATACTGACTCCAGGATTCAAATCTGTACTGGAGAAAGGGATCTAAACAATCTGAGGACCTGGATCTAATCATCCTGAAGTAGATTAGAACCTTTTCACTAAACTCCTGGACCTGATCCAGATTCCTACCAACCCTTGGTAAGAACACCAGAAATCACATGATCTGTCTAGCCCAGTGCCGGGTGCTTGGTCTGACAACACAACAGAACCAACAACTAATAGTAACAGACACCAAAGGATCCTGCCAAGGAGGCAGATTTAGATTTCTTTCTAATGCTAAATGGTAGAAGTCAGCAATGTGCTCCTCAGCATTCTTCCTCTACCTCAATTTATTAGTGAACCACAGTGGGATCCCTAACCCTCAACAACCCATTTACCTCTTCAGGCCATACCACATGTTAGAATAAAAGCTTTATTCATTTCCTCCCTCTGTACCAAACAAGACCTGTCTAAACCTTCTGTATGTTCAAATGGAAGAACTTGATGTTTCTTATCTGTTCTTTCACTGAAGGAATTGGTAATTTTTTTGTGGTCTTTCTTTAGGCATTCCCAGTTTAGCTATGATTCTCTGGAGAAATAACAGCCCAAACCATATGGATGTTTTGGTTGAAGAAGCCGGATACTATTCTGATTCAGCCTTTTCCTTTTCTGTCCACAAGCACACTCTAGGCAGGTGCCTCCAGAGATCCAACTATACCGCTTCCCATTCCTGATCCTGAGTCAGAAACTACAAATTATAGTCTTTCAGTATCTTCTATGTATTCCATATTTTCTCCAAAAGTCCACATCAAGTGCCTGGACCTGGACCATTTTTTTAATTCCAGGTATCACCAGCCACTTTGGCAATGATTGTTATCAAAAGGACCAAGTAACCAGAGTACTTTTGGCTCCAAGGGCTAATCTGTTGTATTATACCAGGTAAGCAGTGCTTAGCTATTCTGACTTTTATGAAATGCTACATTGTCCCAGATTAAATAGTATTACCTACCTAGTGGGTGACTTACTTTTTCTATGGATTAGGTATTGCTTTTGACATAGTTATCATTATGCTTTCAGCATAGATTTTGTTTCACATTCAGACCATACTATCACTCCAATTTTTAAAACCATTAGTTATCTCTTCTCCCAAGAACAAATGTATATTTAACAAATCTAACAAATATTAAGAATACATGCAGAGATTGATTTTTTTTTAAGTACTTTGATTTCAAAATGCTCACTGTCTACTGGGAGAGACAAATGTACATATATAATTATAATGTGGAAGAAATAAAAATTAATCTAAGAGATACAAACACAAAAAGTTCTGGCAGTTAGGAGAAATGTGCAAGATATGAAAATAAGAATTATTATTATACTTCATTATAATTCTACAGAACTAAGAATATACTATTCTTCCTCAACTCCCAGTACCCATGGGAAGAATAGCCAAGCGACAACAGTACACCAGGGTCCTAAGGAATTAGAAAATAAAACCCACCTGATAACCACTTCGTTTGTGTTGCTCAGTTCAACCACCAGTACTGATGGGGATGCCTCAGTTGGAATGATTAATGGAGGAACTGTTGTATTCTCCACAAAGGTATCAGCACTTTTGGCAATGTTTTCTTCTATCTGCAAATACTCTTGTTCAATCATAGACTTGATATTATAATCACCATGTGGTTGCCCTGCATCCTTCAGGATTTTGTCAGTGGGCAATGGAAGTTTAGCATAGAGAATGGCCTTCTGGGGATTTCCAGAAATGTAGTCTATGGTGCATACATCAGAAAGCGAGGCAAGGTTTTTTAAGGCATCCTCAGGGAATTTCACTTTGTACATGTCCTCAAAGGCTTTGGGGAGGGCACTGGCCCAAAGACCACTTGAGTATTTCGCCAGCAGCTCTGAAACTTTCTCTTTAAAGTCTCCTGGCATAACTACTGGACACCCTTTTAATGGTGGTATTTGCTTTGGAGCAGGTAGTGGGGATGGAGGCACTTTTTCACCATCCAGTTCACTTCTCAAAAGCTGCTTTCTCTTAGCTGGATAAAGAAGTAAATCTTGACCACCACTGCAAGGTTTTTCCACCTGAAATTTTTAAATAAAGCAAATGACAGATATCTCAATGGCTATAAACAACCCAAAAACACATTAATGCATTTTAAATGAGAACAACACTGTTCTCAAATTAATCAAGAGAACAAAAAAGTGTACATTTTACTCTTCTCAACTACTAAGACTTAATGCATTTCTTTCATCTACAAATAACATCATGAGCCACATTTCAGAAATCAACAGGGAAATAAAACAGCATTAATTTCCCTTATGGGGCATCTGGCCTCCAACAACCTTATGAAATCATGAGAGTTTCTGCCCTGTAAACCACACATCTCATTCGGTTCTGTCAAATCCAAAGCAACAGCTTACAAAAATCGACTGAATACAAGGTGGGATGAAGCTGTGAAAAGGTTATCAGAACTGTCAGGAATAAACCATTGGGAAGAAAGCTAGGAAATATTTAGACAAAACTGAAGCCCTAGCTGTTTTTCTTCTTCTTGCAGTATCCTGAGAAAACCCTTAACTTTCCATTATTTAGAAAAAGACCCTCCAGAGATAAGGTGCAGTTTTTACAACCACTAAAGTAGAAAGCTAAAAACTGCCCCTCCAAAGAACAAGGGATAAAAATGCCTGGCATTTGTATGTCATCCAATCTCTAATTTTTATCTGTATAACATTTCTGAGAGGCATGGCTCGATGGCATCTCTTTGTATAAGAGAAGAAAGAGAAACTGATGTATGGCACTATTTTTTCCAAGTTTTAAGCCTTTATATTATTAGACCAGGGGTTAGCAAACTACAAGTTGCAGCCCAATGCAGCTCACCACCTGCTTTTGCCTTGCCTGTGAGCTAATATGACTTTTATATTCTTAAATGGTTGAAAAAAATCAGAAGAATTATTTTGTGAGGTGAAGATGATATGATATGCAGTGTACATAAAGATTTGTTGGGACACAGCCATGCCCATTTGTTTAGGCGTTGCGTTTGCCTGCTTTTGCCCGTCAAGAACAGAGTCAAGCAGTTGTGCCAGACGGTGGGTAACAATGACAGAGCTGTTGGCCCACAAAACCGAAAATATTTACTACCTGGCCCTTTATTTAAAAAAAAGTTTCTCAACTTTTGATTAGACTGAAGTTAGCATTCCCAACCCTCTAAAATGTTCCTTATTTGTCAGATCCTATTCAGCTATCCCTCAGTTGTAATTTAAGCCCTTGGAAGAGCATTCCAGACCCCTAAGGTAATAATACAAGCTTGTAAGAAGTCCTCCCTCTCCTAAGAAGAACAGAATATTAAAGTATGCTTCAGTTTCGTCTAAAAACTTCCTAGCTTTCTTCCCAATGGTTTATTCCCAACAGCTCAGCTTGTTAGTAAAGAACATTGACTTCATTTATTCATTTTCTATATAATGCCTAGGAAGAAAGAATCTAAATACGTATATATAAAGAAGATATTGTCTTGTTACCCAAGGAGAGCTTTAAAAAGTCAAGAGACATAGTCAATTTAATATTAAAATAGATTGCTTTTAGTCTGACTATATATTCTAGATGATACATGAGGAAGATGAATATTAACAAGTATAAAACATTAGGTTTTCCTCCTCACATTCTTCTGCCAAGGTGTGTTTAAGTTTTGAGGACTGGGGGAAAAGTCCATGACAGAAAAACCTCAAGCATCAATGAAAGTAGAGGCAACTGAGTCCATGGTTAGCATCTGCTGGATTCCTGGTCATCCTTGGTAAACTCCTGCTGACACCTTGTGACCCTCTGGATGGCACATTATATGATAGCCACAATTTATGTCCCTAATTTTAAACCGTAGGGATATAAATATTTTGACAACTCCTCATTCTGCTCTCAGTAGTCTCGAGATTCGTGTTTTTAAATCTGGAATCTTAAAATGCCAATCTTCACTGTGCTTTAAGACACTTAATAAGATAAAAGAACACAGTATCCAGAGAAGGTTTAAGAAACATACTTTTGGAGCAAAGGGAGAAATAAAATAGAATTCTATGTAAATTATTCACTTGTCATATAGAATCCCAATTCAGGTAATCTTAGATTTAGACATGACTGTCCTCCACATCGAAAGCCAGCTGAGCCTTCTGGGCCCACCTTCATTCTTTGCCTACAGACCTCTTCTCAACCTTTTGCAACACCTTCTCTGAAGTGGATGGTAGAAACTGATTGCAGTGGAATTTCTTATTTATCTAAAACAACTCTCACAAGCCCCATGCCCCAAATGTCCACATGGCTTCTTCTAACTCAAAAGAGGGTAAGATGGGTTCTTCAGCTTTATGATCATTTTCTATCCAGTGAGTGAATTGGAACATGAGATACTTCAATGTTTGTTTAACAGTCTCCCCCACTCCCAGCCCTGAAGCTTCCATTCCCACCTGTGCTTTAGATGTGATCAGGACCAATTACCTAACAATGCACTTTAACAAACCTCTAGACATGATCTCTAAATATGGCCAGCATATTAAGTTCTTCTAACTAGGAATTACTATCTTAACAGAAGTTTATGAATATTATGGCCACTTAGGGGAAACAGAATTCCCTTTCTTTTCTGATCTTTATTTCAGAATAATGCTAAGAGATCATCTGGAATTAGTAAGATTCCAGGACTGTGTCTACAATAGTTAAGTCAAGCTTTTCTAGTCAGCCTATAGATTTTTGACCAATAAGTTTATCCAAATTCTAAACAACAGTCAAATAACTGGACAGATTTCTTTCCCCAGCAGTTTCATTTATTTTTTAAAGGTTTAAAAAGATTTTATTTGAGAGCAAGTGAGTGAGAGAGAGAGCATGAGCGGGGTAAGGGGCAGAAGGAGAAGCAGACTCCCCACTGAGCAGGGAGCTCGATGTGGGGCTCGACCCTGGGACTCCGGGATCATGACCTGAGCTGAAGGCGATGCTCAACTGAATGAGCCACCCAGATGCCCTAGCAGCAGTTTCATTTTATTGTTATTGTTTAAAGTAGATAGCCACCCCCTAACCCCAAATGACTAGTTCTTTGAACTGTAGGCACTTTCCAGTGTGCTTCTTCCTTAATCTCAAGAGGTTTGGTTATAAACCTAAACTCCACTTTGTTCTCCAGTAATTTGGCCTCTTTAAATTCAAATCAGTATTTACTAAAGGCCTGACTTTAGGAACTGAACCTGACACTAACCAGAGCTGAATGAGATGTCCTTCAACATGTAAGGCAAATATTCATGGATAAGCTTAGTGATATGGATAATGTCTGGTCCATATACTTTCTAAGCAATCTTTGGAGACTGGCTGAAGGGTTACTGAATTCAAAGGGAAAAATAATGAAACTCATATTTTTCAAGTTAAAAAAACGTAAAACAAATGTAATTTTTTTCAACTGAAACTTTGTTTTAAAATTTTCACGAAAATTTATTTTTCTCATTCAACAGTGATTGCTACCTATCCTCCACAAAATGTGTCTTTGTCTCTCTTAATTATCTGGTAAATAGGCTTACAAAAGATACCTACCACTCTATCCCCAGCTTACAACAATCTCCCCAAAGATAAGGAATTGCTATAATGTGGGTTACAGTGTGGTGTCCATTATTCACTGTGCTCTGGTGCATCTAACCAGATTGTCATGTGATCGCCTGTCACATCCCCCAAGTAGAAAGTTTTCTTCTAGCCTTCACAAATGACCAAGGTAAGTCAACAGCCACTTGAAATGTGGCTTTTATTATATACTTAGTATGATAATCAGCAGCTCATCATTTCAGTTATCTCTCATAAGGGCGCTTTTCACCTTCTCTAGTCTACCTGATCCAGATACATACCTGAGGAGGGAGTCATGGGCCTTCTCTTCTGTAGGAGAAGATTCAAGGTCATAATCCTACCCTTTTCCTCCATGTTTTATTTGTTTTGTGGCTATACATTTTTTTTTTTTTTTTGGCTTTGGATATCCACTCAAGAAACTACCAGTCCAATGACCGGGAAGTGGCATGACCTGGAACTCCACATCTTCACTCACTCCACCTCACCCTCACCCCCAACAGGAGAGACAGGTAGGTAACATAGAAAATTAACTCTCTACACCATGGAGTTTAAACCACCTCCTTTGGTACTCATCAGAAAATTCTGGTATCTAATATGCCTTAGACTTTTTATCCCCGTAAGTTTATTTAGTTTGATTTCTGCCTCATTTGGAATTGCAGTGAAATACTTCTCTCTCACACCCCTCTGGGATTTCTTAAGTTTAGAGTAGACATATTAGGTTTGGCATATGTGAGGCCCAAGGATTTCAAACATCAATTTCTTCAGGAGCCCAGTTTGTTCACACAAATGTCTTTATTCTACGCACCTAGAAACTTTCTTCTTCTTAATTCTAGAGGTCTTTACTTCTTCCTTTCTAATTTTACCTGTAAACTTAAATTCCTGAAGCCCAAATCCTTTGAGTCTATGGAAGGCTCATCTGCTAACTCTGCAGCATGAGCTACTGAGGTAAACTTACTGTCTCTTGTGGAATTAGAATTTTCTTTGGGATTCTCTAATAGAATTGGTATTGTCGATTTAAATTAAAAAGTTTTCTAAAACAGTTGTATGGGTCTCATCCAGTCACAGTTTTGTTTCCATTGTGGTTCTTTGTGTTGAAGCTTTAAGTTCTTCTTTTTTAAAATTTCATTTATTTATTTTTTGTGAGAGAGAGAGAGAGAGAGAGAATGCAAAAGAGCACAAGCAGTAGAGAGGGAGAAGCAGGCTTCCCGCTGAGCAGGGATCCTGATGTGGGGCTCAATCCCAGGACCCTGAGATCATGACCAGAGCCGAAGACAGCCACTTGACCGACTGAACCACCCAGGTGCCCCCGAAGCTTTAAGTTCTAAATTTCATTTTATGTGGTCACCATCCAATACAAACCGGAGACAGTACAGTAAAATCACATTTACCTCGAGGCCTGCTTCTGAGCAATCCAAGCATTAGAAAGGTTTTGAACTCAAAAAGAAACCAATTTAAAAACTCAATTTCAGCAGTGAATAAAAGACCCCTAAGTACCTTGCAACAGTGAAAAC